ATAATACGCAGTAATAATATTGAAATCATTATCGTGCTGTTTTAATAGATACATTTATTCAGAGGCTAGTGAGCGAACTAATGAAATACAAAATGGAAAGGTCCATGTATAATCATAGAGAAAATAGAACAGATAGATCTGTTCTATTTTCTCTATGGTATAATTGTATTTGGCCCAAATGATTGATTGATTGATGCGACTGCTGCAATTTTCTATTTTGTGAAGGGCGCCACCACCGACCATTGATCAATCGCCATATTGCCCCAGTTCAATTAAATTACCGGCGAGTATTGTTGTTGTCTTAAAAGTCATTATGTTGTTTCGTTCCAATTTGCGATTCATATCAAGAAGCGTATCGGTAAGAAAATTCAGTATTGCAGATCGTTTGGTCATTATTTAGGTTTATATTGGTCTTTTTTACAGATAATAATTATAATTTTGCTAGGCCTCCGATCCGTCAACAACAACGTCGTATGACACTGGATGATGAGAGGCCTTCACGTTTGCGGAAAAACCGGGTTTTCTCTAGCCTAAGCCTAGGCCTACGGCCAAACTGCTCTGTATTGTGGTTGTGTAGCGCATTGTTGGTTAAATGTTCTATCTTTAATCCACAGTATTTGCTCACGACACCACAGACTATATTTTTTTATACATTTTGTTTTATTTTAATTTAGCTCAAGGGAGATATTGCCCCCCCCCCCTCAGGCCCACTACCTACAATTACCAGCTATTATTAAGCCCAGCTAATGAATAACAACTCCCCTGGGCCAGCTAGCCTACGGCTAGGCGTCCAGGCTATCCTCTAGGGCATCCTGTTAGTCCTAGCTAGCCTTTTTTTTAATTTATAAACTTTATTTTTAAAATTTTATTTATATGCCTACTGAGTTTATGCTACAATTTTGAAGAAACACTGTGTGTGAATTTAAGCTTCATTCCTTCTCAATTTTGTACAGATGAGTTAGTGAGTGGTTTGCTTTACTGAACACTGTACTGATTAACTTGCCTTGCACATTGTTCTTACTGTAGTTTTATTTACTTTTTGAGTACAGTGTGTGCAAGATGCCATCAACAACATCATGTTTAATGTACAATTGTTCAATATTTGTTAAAAACAATAATCAAATTCATTTTATTTTTAGCCATCCATGTATCCAAATAGACAATTAGTTAAACTTATTTTTACTTATCAGAAACGTTTCCAAACGGCTCAGGCATCTGCAGCCACAGCGGACAGGAATGCTCTGCCTGCTCAAGATGCTCAGGTTTCTAAGCTGGCCAATGGGCTCACTGTTGCCTCGCTTGAGAACTACTCACCTGTCAGTAGGATCGGAATTATAGTCAACGCTGGGTCGAGATATGAAACTACTAAAAACCTAGGCGTCACCCACTGTTTAAGAGCATTTGCCAACTTGGTATGTGTATTGGATTTTTTTTTTGTAGTTATTTGTCATTTAACCATTTCATCTTCAGTATAAATTTCCATTTCGGAAAATGTAAAAATTTTAATTTAAAGAGGATAATCCATAATCCCTAAAATCAACAGTAAAGTGTTTAATAAAAAAGTATTTGAAGGATTCATAATTTTGGAGGACAATTATGCTATAGAAATTAGCTTATTAACTGCCAATGCTCATATAATTATGTACTGATATATTGTATGCTCCCTAATATTTGTCATGATGCTGAAGAGGAGTGATGGTAATGATGATGGGATTGACAAAAACGACCTTATGACAAGGATGTTATGTCACAAAGATGATTAGGACAACGGACCATTCCGCTAAACCCCACCCCTTGGATATCGTTGCTAAGGTCCCACAAAACACCCGCGTAGCCCTATTTTGATTGGTCAGTTGTTAAGTTTGATTTTCTATTCAGAAAAGTCTGTTACTAAATTGTAGAAGGCAGGGACAAATTTTAACAAATTTAATGACATGCAGCTGGTAATGATGACAAGGAGAATGATAAAGATCATTTTTTTTACCCCTCTCTAGACGTGTAAAGGTGCAACTACCTTCAGTATCACAAGAGGATTGGAAGATGCAGGAGCATCACTGGAGGCATCAACAACTCGGGATCACATGTTATACTCAATAAATTGCTTAAGGGATAACCTGTAAGTATATATTTTACAACAATTTGAAATTAACAGCCATTTATTGCATACAGTAAACTGTTTATCAACGATGCTTTCTGTGGTAAAAATCCAAAATTCAAAACTCTCACAATATTAATTAAAACTTTTCCATTCTTATGGAATGTATAAAGAATTAAAAATTTTTTTGTAATCATGCTAACATGTTTCTTTCAGAGATATAGCTGGAAATTATCTTATTAGTATTGCTGGGGGTCAAGAGTTCAGGAGGTGGGAGGTCAATGATAGTAAATACAGAGTGAACATTGATTTGGCTCTTGCTGAGACCCAGCCACAGATAGGTATGTGCACACTACACTTTCTACCCTTCATAGCTTTAAATAAACAGACCCTGCACATTAATCTTGATTACTGTATTACAAATATCTACAGTATTATATAATAATTTTCCTACAAAAGTTAATAGTTTTATAGAAACAAATATATTAAATACTATTATGTACAATTAACTTTTTAGGTAACTTAAGAGAGAATTGTTTTAATTGCCAGCAATTCATAAGTTTAATGACAAAAGATACTACTTTTAATATCAAATGCATCATTTAATCAACATAAATGTTTTGATATAAGCAGTAGAAAATTGTTTGTATTTTGTTATAATTATTATAAGTAAATAATTATGTTATTAATGTTTCAACTTAATTTCTTTTCTTAGACGTTATGGAACGTCTCCACGGGGCAGCTTTCAGAGGAAATCTCGGAAATTCTCTTTTCTGTCCAAAGTACATGCTGGACGCATTCACAACAGATGTGCTCAAAGATTTTGTCAATACGCACTTCACGGCTGAAAACATGGCTCTTGTTGGTGTTGGTAGGTGAAGTTAATTACTGTGTATGAGGCATGTCGTGGCAAAATGGTTAAATTGTTGCACAGGCCAGTATTGAGTAAATGAGCTATAAAATATGGGAGCTCAAAAAATTGTATAAAAATCCACATTTTTTTCACTATAGATCAACAATTTAATGTCTTACTAATCATGTCCCAAAGTATTAGTTTTGGAAGTGGTCAACGAATTATTTATTTAATTTTACTTAGATAGTTAATTCTATCAAACAATGTATGCACAGATAACTTTGGAAGACAATTACTCAAAATCATGGTTATCTTGAGTGCTGTACTTTCACTTTCCGATAACTTAGTATTGAAATGACCCCTCATTTAAAAGATCTCATAATCAGGTATCTGAAAATACCAATAACTTAATAACTTGAATTTTAATTTAAAATAGCCATTTTGCCACAACATGCCTCATATGTCCTAGCTTGGCTTAGAAGTATTACACAATAACATCACATCTGCTTTCTATCCCCTCCAGAAATTCTTTAATGTCTTTTTTTTTTTTTTAGAAGATGCAGGCAAAGTAAACCCTGCAAAAGATGAGTGAGTTACAGAGGCAGGGGCTGTAACTGACTTGCATTTAAAGCTTGAACATAGAGTGAACCATTTTTTAAGCCCATTCACAATGCAAGCTGAGGTATCCAAGCTTGCTGGTAGGTTAGGGCATGGGGCTCAGACTCCCAACCATGAGGTTGAAACCCTCAACAGCAACTGCTGCAATAACCGCCGCACTCTGATTATTCTAAAGCTTTTTTCAGATACCCCAGCTCAGGGATCCCTTATCTACAGTTATGATTATTAACACTCTGCCTCAGGGATCCCTTATCTACAGTTATGATTATTAACACTCTGCCCGCCAAAGACGGAGATCCCTGTGTTTGGTAAATCAACGCTTGACCGCCAAGCACGGAGATCTCCATGTTTCCTGGTTTTTTTACGGAGTCCGATAGATGGGGTAATTACCGACATGTACTAACAATTTGAAAACTATATTCAGTCTGGACTGTTTATGTTGTGTGTTCCGCTATTCCAATGTGACCTATTCTCATTGACCTCATATTGCACGGCGATACTGAAACGCGGTTACCTCAGCTTCATTGTGTGAATATGCGTAAAACAACAAAAGTTAGTCACCTTCATTTTACTGTTACGGACCTCAGATTGTGATTAGAATAAAGTGTTTGGTACCATTGTAAAGCTAAGATGTTTGTAGTTCTTGTAGTATTTATTACATGTCAATCTGATCACGTACACACTATCAAAAAGCTTCATAAAAGTGTTAAAATTCGCTAAAAAGTCTGGCGATGTCTGATACTATTTTTGCAAACCCTGCTGGTCAGATTGTTAATACTTGTTTATTAATTGGATATCAGAGTTCAGAAGCATGGATGTAAACATTTGTATGTTGTTATTATAGGAGTTGACCACGACACTCTTAAAGCTTTGGGTGAAAAATTGGCTGTGCAGCGGGGATCTAAAGTTAACAATGCTTCAAAATACGTTGGAGGTAAGTAGTTTACCCATATATGGGTGTGATAGGATATCATCATGCCCATATATGGGTGTGATATTTTATCATCTTGCCCATATATCACAAATTTGTCTCAGAAAAGTTTACAGTGCTTCGAAATACATCGGTGGTAAGTAGTTCAGAGATAAACAGTAGTGACAAACTCCTGTGATTTACCCATATACTGTATGGGTGTGATAGGACATCATCATATCCATATATGGATGTGATATGGCATCATCTTGCCCATATATGAGTGAATTTCAAATTTGTCTCAGAAAATTTGAATATATTGACAGATCATTATTAGGTCATTTAAAATTATCAAAGGCTTCACCTGGTAAAACGAAATTTAAATGACATTTTAAAAATTTAAAATATCTTTATATTTTCATTCATGCAGTGGACTTCCCACGTACTGGATAAATATTATTCTAAGGCTTAGGTGTCAAGTTGATTGTTGGAGTCAAATTGATTCCTTTGCTATATGTAACATACAAAACATTTTTGCTGAAAATAGAATATTCATACTTTCGAATAGCAACACCCAACAGTTCATGAAAACATGTCATTGTTGACAGGTGTTGAAAGCAGGGCGCAGAATCGTAGTGAACTGGTCCATGCCGCTGTGGCCGTAGAGGGCGCTGGCATTCAGAATCAAGATGTACTCACACTCTCAGTAATGCAGTACCTGCTAGGGCCTGAACCATGCGTGAAGTGGGGATCCCACATGGCCACGTCAAAGCTGAACCAAGCTGCAGCTAAAGCAACGCAGTCGCCCTTCCATGTGAGTTATCAGTGTTTAATATCTGTTTATCCAAGTCAATGCTATCATTATTATTAGGTGTATGTAGTGTTGTAATAGGAAGACGAGCATGTCTGATTATGTAAAGTTTGTCCAATGGACACACCACAACAGATTCTGTATAGTGATGTAGGAAAACTCTTTTTCTCTAAGTATGTCTGTCACAGGGCCATTTTGATCATCATCCTTATCTGTGTGACGTATGTGAGTTAAAAAAAAAATTGATTGCCTGATAGTACTAACTAGTAGATGTAAGCACACATTAAAAAAATTAATTTGCAAGCTTCATTATGAAATTATAGATTCCTCAAGTGTCTGAAATGCACGTCCGAATTTATGGAATTGCTATAGAGGAGGACTATATAATACACAGAATCAAATATACAATACTCCAATCATAGTTTTCAAATTTGTTTGCGTCTTTCAGGTTTAAGTTAAACTATATTTATTACAAAGTCCTAGACCAACACAGGGTTGTTTTTTTCTGGTACTGTATGCATAAATACAACAAAAAACAACACAAAATGACAGTTCAAAAATAGTTTGACTAGTGGTAAAACACAACAATTTGGCATGTAAAATAAGATCTACTGTAGGCAAGTTTAACTGTATTTTGGTATTTGACCGACCTATTTCATTCCTGTTCCAGATTAACTTTGCGAACTAAACTGAAAATATTTTGTTTCTTGTAGGCAAGCTGTTTGAATTTGAGTTATGCTGATACAGGTCTGTTTGGGTTCTATGTACTTGGCCAAGCCAACGAAATGCAGTCAGTAAGTGTTAATAATCAACCTATAAAGTGTCATACTCATTATTTTTTTATGTTGCACATTAGCCATTAGGCAAGACTTCTTTAGCGAACCTCCCGCCCGCCAATAATACTGATTTCGAATAAAAAAAGAAAAAATATTTTTGGCCAATTAGCGCACACACTGCCACAAGAAAGTTTTAGAAAAAAATAACAAATTTTATTTTTATTATGCCCGCTGCTGCCTTGAAATCTCCAAAAATATGTTATGTATATTTCTTCCCAATTATATAGATTTAAAGCATTTAACCATCCCATTACTACATTGTTTACATTCACCAATAAAATTTTATTTTGTCCTCCGTCTGGATGTTTTTTGGTAAAAGTATTTGCTAAATAAGAAAACAAAATGTTATTTTTATTTTTCTCCTGCCCTCCTCTGACGTTTTGAAAAAAAAATAAGTTTTGCGAAACTAGGTATAAAAATAGTCTTGACTTATGATGTTCTAGAATTTCTTACAACATGTTTGTGTCAAATGCTTAGTACCTTATTTTTACTTTATAATCTGTTTTTTTATCACTTCAAGCAGAGTACAGTTTTCATATATAAATGAAAATAATGATATTTTTATATATGAAATATATCTTTTTTTTTTAGTTGTGTTCTCTTCCCTTGATCCAAAATAGATTAGTTCTTTTCTTTATATTTATGTTTATATTTTTCTTTTAATTAATGATCATTTGAATTTTATTTCCGATTTGCATTTTTTTGTTTTTTGTTCATTTGATTGTGAAACCAGTGCTGCATCACTGAAAGTGCTATAGCAATAAAGACAAAATAAATAATAAATAAAAATAAAATATTTTGAAATTTAAAATAGGTTCTCAAAGCTGCAATGGGGCAATTTGGTGGATTAACAAAAGGCAATATTGATGAGAAAGACTTTCAGAGGGCAAAGTAAGTCAACAATTCCTAGTCTATGTGAGGATTGAATTCTACTCTAGCCACCAGCACAAGCTTGGTGACCTAGTTGTGTGAAACCAGGCTAATATCTTTTGGTTGTAGATTTGATTCCCACTTGCAGTATTTTAGGACATACTGAGTATTCAGTGTCACATTGGAAATAATAGTATGTTTGTTGAATTCCTAATCTTATTGTAAATATTTGTTGGGCCTTTTGTATTGATCATTTTATATAAATTCCAAGTATTCCTTGTAAAATTATATTGCTAAATTAACATTATAATTATATATAAGCAATATTAATTAATATTTTGATTTTTTGTTTATTGAAATTCTTTAAAAAAAAATCTTTTTTGTAATTGTTTTTACCATTTCTGTATTTGTAATTGTCCTTTTTGGAGCGTGAGTTAGTTCTCTTATAAAGCAATCCTCAGGCATTGTACTGTTGCTGTATTTTATATTTAATGTTTTACCTTTATGAAGTTACTGTATGTTTTATTTTTTTGTGCCTGAAAGTAAATAAAATATAAAAAATATAAATATCTTCTTAGTTACTTAAGTTCATTGGATGTATGTATATGATACTGTATATATAACATTTTAAATATATTAATTTATTTCAAGGAACCAATTGAAGTCTTCATTAATGATGCAGTGTGAAGACCAGGGTACCTTCTTTGAGCACCTTGCAGTACAGAGTCTAACCACTGGAAATTATCAACCACTTACTGATGTACTCAAGCAGATAGACAACATCAAACCTCAAGATGCCGTAACGGTAAATTATCATCTGATATTAGGCCCTGTTCAGACTATCAGATCTTGTTGGATAAAAACATGTGACATGCCTAAATATGGTCATGATGACATCACATCATCACCATATATAGGCACATCATGACTATATATGGTCATGATGACATCACATCAAAGAAAATTTGGTAATCTGGACAGAGCTTTATTTTTTACATCAAGTTAAAGTAGTGAAGATGAAGATGATGGGTATGAGGATCTGGGGTGCATGCGGTGGAGGGGGGGGGGGGGGTGCAGACAGTGCGATTGTAACTCTCCCCCCCCCCCCAAATATATTCTCATTTTTTTCTCACCTCAGCCCCAACCAAGGTGAGACTGAGATGGTGTGGATTCTGACGCACCCCCTACCACCAAATCCTGCATTCGCCCCAGAGGATGGTGGTGGTGGTAGTGATGATAATGGTATTGTTGATGGTGATAATATTATCAATGATCATGAAGATGTAGTAATGCTGATGAGTTAGTAATAATAGTAATATTGATATAAAAAATAACGATATTACTTCATGAATGATAATTTGTGCTGTGTTATTTATTTTATGTATAAATTATGTTGTTAGTATTTATTGGCTTTTATTTTTTTAAAACTAATGTGTGTGCTTTGCCATATTTTTTTTCAATAACTATTTTTCATAATTTGTGTATATACAATTTAATTGTATATTTATTGTCTAGTCTTTTAATTGTGTGCTTTGAATAATTTATTTAACGTAATGTCTATACTGTTTTCTATGTTAATTAACTTGTCTTTAAATTTCCTGATGCAATTTTATTAACAATTTTATATTGAAATACAATTTTAGCTGCTGTTTTGTAATATTGTTGTACCTACAGTAAATAAAATAAACAAGAAAATAAATACAGAAAATGATAATCTACCTTGTGTATTTATGTGTGCTTGCAAATTTATAAGTTTTATGTTTTAGTTTGTGTTTAATTTAATAATGTTTACAATTAAATCTTTAATCATTTTTTTATATTTTATTCCCAACAGGTTGCAAAGAAAGTGTTCAACGGCAAACCGGTGATGGTTGCCAATGGCGATTTAGTAAACACACCATATTTGGATGAACTGTTATAAAGGCACACTGTTGCCAGTACTGCCCTCTAGAATTAACAATATTTAATGAGCTGTTCTTCGAATCTCAACACTTTATTATAATCAAATATGTTGCCAACTTTGCGCACCATAGATGGTTTCTATATACCATCAATATCTCATTGGTGCACCATACTTGCCTAATTGGCCAATAAAAATATATTTTTACCTACTGTAATACTAAGCTATACTGGTCTGAAATAGTGTTGTAGTAGAAATAATTATTGCGGTACTGCTTGCATATTGTTAAATATGATTTATTTTATTATTGTTCCTCATATTAACTTTAAAATGATAAGGCAATGACCATAAACAGAATTTATGAATAGAGTTTGATTAAAAAGTATGTTGAAAATTATAAAATGCTTTGTTATATGCTGTTATTTGTGTCAACTTTTCAATTATTTAATATGAAATTCTGTAATTGTTATGCAATATGAAGCTTATTAAAGGTAAACCAGGTACCCATTAACTCCTGGGTGGAGAGGCAAACATAGGTAAAGTGCCTTGTCCAAGGAGACAAGCGAAATTTACATTGAAGGTTCGAGCCCCCGACTTTGAGAGACCGAAATGCAACCACTCCCCCAACTACTCCCACGAAGCTGTGCATGATTGTGTATATGAATATATTCATGAGAATGAATATTCATAAGCTGACATATTCAACAAAAATATTGCACATAGTGGTTTCGAATTACATTATAAAGGTGTTTCCTTTCTTTATTCAATATAAAAAAACATCAAAAGAATACAATGTTTCTTTCTATTTCAAATACGTTTTTTCAAGTTCTTTTCATTACCTTGGTGTTCTATTTACCAAAATTTTAAATATATACAGTATTATCATTTTTATATATTTGAATAATTTATACAGCATAACATTTTATTCTATAAATTATATTAAAGGTGTACCTGATAAAACAATAGATAACCTCAGATGCCCAGATTGAAAATTATTGGAATTTTCAAAGAAAAAAAACTGCCTATAAAAAAATACAGTATACATTACACCACTGTATGTGATGGTATATTTAAGACAGCATTGCGCCCTCAGACCACATCAAATTGCATTAAGATTAGGGACAAGGCAGTGATAGTCAAGCCGTCCATCCGTAAACATCGATGTGCTATTAATCCTCCGATGTCACTCACCCACTGTTACATTTATATTCATAAAACGTATGTGCATTATATTTGTTGTTATAGTTTGATCTTCAAATACTTTTAATTGACTTTAAACGATTGTTATCATTTCCGATAAATTGATTTTATCGAAGAAACGAAGTATCGAACTTTAAATGAATACGTTGTGTATAACGAATCATTATAATTCATTACTTATAATACGAAATTAATGTAGTGTTTTAGTATAGTTTGTTATAATAGGATAGCATTGCTATGAAACGATGTATGCTGTGTATATTAAGAACAGTGTACAGTAAATAAGGATAGGTCCAGCAGCATGAATCGAGGCCACATACCTGTGAGGGACGGTCACAAGCGACGATTGTTATAATCGTCTTTTATAGCTCCATGATCACAGTAACACAGTTTTATACTAGTTATTTACTTTAATCGTTGTGTATTATTTAATTATACTTTTATTTAGTTCATGTAATGCGATATTATATGCAGCTAGTTGTAGCATAGAGAAAATAGAACAGTTCTATTTTTTTCTCTATGGTTGTAGGATTATTATTATATTTCGTTATACTTTGTTAATCATGTATAATCCCATGTTAGCGTTACTTTGAGCACAGTCGAATAGTTGGAGGTAATGACTTTACCACCTTACTGTTACTTTTGTTTACAGTACCGCAACTATATGGGGTTTGAGCCGCTATATCTCACTATTGTGGAAAGACTGTGCTGTTAACTTAACATTCATCTTTTAATTTGAATCTTTCTAATTGTTATCGTAAACTGATTTTTACTTGATCGTAATAATTGCTTTAAACTATCGTGAATTAATTTAACATAGATTTGAGTTTCGTTTATATGCTTTCTGTAATGATTTAATTTGGTTTAAATAAGTTCTTTTAATCGGCATTGGCTTTTGAATCATAACTTATATAATGGGTACATTCATATTTATATAATTATTCTGATAAGCATAATACAGTTTGTGACCTTGAAACCTTTGGAATAGATCATCTTAATTAAAGTCTAATAATTTGTTACATTTATCCAGTCTCTTCTCAGTCTGTCCAGCGTTTGAATCAGTGTTTAGTTTTAATTCAGTCTTCGCTCGTCTCACATCTTTAACGCTATTCAATTTTATTATATCCGCTGGACCAGTTCCGACGGTGACATGTACAACTGTAATTATAAGATATCATAATAAATCGAAATGCACGCCATCGTGTTGTGATTCAATATTTCGAAATTGATTATGTCATCACAGTAATTGTGTTTTTTTAGTTGGGAGCCCTCTACAGCATGGACGACTTAGATTGTCAACAACGTCCCTGGACAATGCATGAGCTGCATCAATCTATATTCTGAAGCTGCATGCAGATAACATCCCTATCAAGTTAAAAGAAGTTGGTTTAGGCCTACGTTCAGAAAAAACAAACCCAATTTTGATTCGGCTTTTCCGGGATTTGCGGTTTAGGCCTAGGCCTGGTAAGAAGTTGGCTATTATTGCCGTGGCCTAGAGGCCTAGGCCTAGCCTGCCAGTGATTGTGTATGTATGATGGGTTGCCATATGATGACATGATTATTGGCTAGCCTATGCCACACACCAACTGTTCGTCTGACTGACAAGGGCCTAGGCATGATATTAGAAACGGTGTGTCAGTACGAATATTAAAATGGCAACTCGAGTAGCTGCATGTCTACTTAACGTTTCGGAGGCCTTAAATAAGAGCATTGTTGAAAGTATAGCAGCAAGTGCAACGAATCAGGCAGACTATCTCTCATCAGATCATAGTAAGTGACATGGATGTGGGACTCATCGTGTAGGCCTAGTCTGAAAAGTCGCGTTGCATTTTGTTTTTTAATGGACCCTAGCAGCAGGAGGAGGTGGCTTTGGTTTGGGGGACCCCAATTTTAAACCCCTTGTCAGCGAATGTATGTAGCCACAATTGCTTATAATATTAAAAGCCAATAAAATATTTTATTTTGATTTATTTTGATAGCATTAAATACTTTGGATTTAAAGACCATGAATTTTGTAATTTTTTTTTTGGTGGGGTCAGGGGATGCCTTGTGGCATACATTTTTCATGTAAAAATATAAAGATTCTGTCTTTATCAGGTGAAGATAAACCAAAAGGATGCTAACCATTTTGGATATGATTGTTTTTGTAGGTGTTTTAAAATCTTCCTCCACTGTGCTCAATATTTTCAACGATAAAGATTACAACCGATCTGTAATAACAATCGCAGGACCTTTGCAATGCTTGGCTGATTCTGTATACCGTGCTTGCCAGTCTGCCTTTGAACAGATCAATCTGTCCAAACATAGTGGAGGTCATCCGAGACTTGGTGCCGTGGATCTTGTTCCAGTACATCCATTATCTGAAGATGTTAGCCTGGAAGACTGTGGGGCTGTAGCCAAAAGTAGGTTTTTTTAATTGAAGTTTTTGTTAGTTCATCTTTATGTTTTTTTCTTTCACATTTCCAAACATCTCTTTACTTATTCCTAAGAGGTCTCTGAGATCTAGTTCAGAGTCTCTACTTGCTCATTCCACTCGCCCGTCGACAAAGCATTATGGTAGTCGTTCTTTCTCTTGGGCTTCTGTCTTTCTTTGGAATGCTCTGCCTATTACAATCCGACAGGCAACTTCCATTGATAATTTTAAGGCAGCTTTAAAAACTCACCTTTTTAACTTGTATTTTTCTTAATTTTTTTTCCCGAATTTTATTTTTACTGTTAAGCGCATTGAGGCTTTAGCATAATGCGCTATATAAGCCAAAATTATTATTATTATTATTATTATTACTTGTTTTTAGAGTGCATAGAGACTTTTTGTATTTTGCACTTTATAAATTTTAAACCATTAACCTTTTAAACTTTCATGTAATCTTGAGCTGACATCTATTCATAAAAATAAATATGTACCATATGTATTCTCACTTCAGAAAATTTCATGAAGACCAATAAATACTTTTAATTGAATTTTCTTCCCCAGATATTGCAGAAAGACTAGCTGCTAATATTCCAGGCACTTCGTTCTTTTTGTTTGGCGAGAGTGATTCTCCTCTTAAACGAAGTTTAGTGCAGCGAAGAAAAGAGGTGGGATGGTACCATGGTAGATTTGGGATGGACTACAGCGCTTTGAAGTTTGACGTTGGATCATCTCCATGCTCCAGATATGGTTTAACAGGTAAAAAGATTACATTTTTTTAAAGATTATTTCTAAAGCACATGGTTTTTCCAATTTCAATTATACTAAAAGCCCCTCCTAAATTCTCAGTGATATTTAGTCTATGTCGAGTAGGCCTATATTGTGTGTATGTTTGCTTGTGAAGTTATTAGGGGTTCCTGATACCTTCACAAGCAGGGGGAGCCTCAGAGGTATATCCTCAACATTTGTGCCTAAATTAGAATAAATTCATTTTGCAGGTATAGGTGCGTCTCCTTATGTAATGAACTGCAATGTCACAATTGCTACACAAGACTTTGAATTTGGTCGTCACATTGCATCAAAAATCCGTGCAACAGCGCCCTCTGGATTACCAGGAGTCCAGTCCATGGCTTTCAAGCATGAAGGACAAATAGAAATTGCTTGTAATGTTGAGTCCACTGTAACCTGGGATGAATCACGCGAGAAATATGTGTATACACACACCGATGCATCAACGCTGACATCGCTTGTAGAGAGATTAGCATCAGAGAGAAGCGTGAAGCTGGTAGGAACGGCTCTTGTAGGATTCAGTCCACAGGAGGCTCTCCATCAAGCACAGCATGCCTTGGCCACTGGGCAACGTCAGTTTTGGAAAACAAGATCCACGATAACAATGTGATAGCTAGTTAATAAGGAGCTTTTTATTGCGTGATGCGGTAAAACTAGACCGTAACAACGTCGCTAATAATTCATCTGTGCATGCGGGAAGTTTTCCTCATCGCATGGATTCTAGGATGCCATTTGACAAAATCATTGTTGAGCAGTGAACATAGGACGGTCACGCATGAGTGAATCCGTAAATGGGCGTGGTTAGGCATCGCTAACATCTCTCGGAAGTAGTCCAGAATGATCATTTAGGGTTATTTAGGGTTTCTAAGGCCAAACGTGCGGGTGGCAGCTATCCCCAATAGTAAGCCCGGGGCCCCAGCCCCACGAATGCTGTCTTGTGGGGCTGGGGCCCTGGACTTACTATTGGGTATAGCTGCCACCCGCACGTTTGCTATTTGTATTGTAAAGAGACCATGTATTATGCAAGTCCTCAACCATTACCAAAAAATTTTACAACAATGGCGAAAATTTACTGTACATGTAAGAGTTTTTTTAATAATAAAAAAAGCATTTTTTAGGTCAATACAATTATGATGTATAATCTGTTTTTATAGACTATCAAAAGGAATAATACATATTAACAGTTAACAAAAATTGAGAATACTGTTCCAACCATTTGCACATCTAGAAGGCACTCCGGGCCCTCTGGATATCTTAACTTTCAATTTTACCAATTAAAAAAAAATAATATAATATATAATATATATATTTTGTAAAGCACTATAGGATATAGATTTTTGTATAATTCATCCAAATATATAGTGATATTTTAAGCCCTCTATATTATCATTCAAAGAACCAGCACTATATCATTCCCTCAAGTACAAACTTATCTTTGTTTCCACAAATAAATGACAGTCTTGCATGTCACAGCCAATCATAAAAACAGAGAGCCAAGGATGTTTACATTTTCACCAGACATGAGCATGTGAATGCCAATCTGATGGAATTCAATTATTTTAATTCCACGATTAATATTCTTTTTTGTTTTTAATAATTTACCTAATGTTTTTGAGATTATTTATGATATAGAGGTCGCTCTATATATACACACACATATATATATATATACACACACACACACATATATATATATATATATATATATATATATCCCACAAAGCACCATTTTCATAAGCTTCCACCACTTGGCTTTGGTTTCCTGATAAACGCTTTCTTGAAGCCATCTCGTTGTTTGATCCGTTCCACGTAGTCTACCAGTACAGGGTAGTCTTGTAAGATCGCGCCGCTTTGTATCACCGAGGCCCACCACATGTTGTAACCTAGAACACAATCTGCAGCAGTAAACCTGTAATCAAAAGAGGAGGGAGAGAGACTATTAGATTTTAGTATAATTTAAGAACTTACTCAGTTACATAATATCCCATTGTTGAAATTACAAATCTTGTGCGTGTTCGTTATGTTGACACTCTCAACTAGATTTGTGATGACGTCTAGGAATCCTCCTAACCTATGCATTAAAATGGCCTGTCGCTAAACCTGGATGGAGCAATGTACCTGTGACGTGATCACAAATCTAGTTAAGAGCATTCAAGAACCCCATTGGAAATAAGTCGTTTTTATACAACTTTAATGGGCTATCCTAGTATACCATGGTTTACAACATCGCATTTTATTGAGTTTAATTTTAATCTTTTTCCCTATTTTAAAGTATGTATTTACTTTTAAGAAAATCATTGTTATATTTGCTATTTATTGTTCTGACATTGCGGTATACTTAATAAAGTTAAGTCAAGTCACGAACGTGCACAAGATTCATAATTTAAGAAATGGGATATTATATAATTGAGTATGCTAAATCAGTTCTCAAATTATTTAAAATTGTTAAACTTTTTCTTCAACTTGTTTTGTTGCTATTACTACTACAGTCAACTTATAAAATCAGTAGGAGATGATTTAGTTTGGCCTGGATGGACTCTACTGTAATATTCTAAACCATGGGTAGCTGTCATTCTCCACACAACTTTACCTGTCTCCACATATATACTGCCGTTTCTCCAGGACACTTGATAAATATGCAGCAATCTCTTTGAACTTATTTGTCATCTTTTCTACTAGCGCCGTGTCTCGCTGATCCTCTGGCATGTGTGTTAGCTGCATGTACAATGGTTCTAGCACTGGGTCAATGGTTGCTGTCGCATAGCATATCCAACTGTTCAAAAGAATCAGCAACAATTTGAGGCATGTTGTGGCGAAATGGTAAAGTTGTCGCACAGTCTAGTATTGAGTAAATGAGCTATAAAATATGGGAGCTTAAAAAATTGATAAAAAATCCAAATTTGTTTTTCACTGTAGGTCAACAGTTTAATGTCTTATTAATCATGTCCCAAAGTATTAGTTGTGGAAGTGGTTAACAAATTGTTTATTTAACGTTATTTTTCATAGTTCATTCTATTAAACAATGTATGCACAAATAACTTTGAAAGGCAATTACTCAAAATCTTGACTAAGAATACTGTACTTTCACTTTCCAATAACTTTGTATAAAGAAAATTATAATTATCATATTTCAGTTTTCCTATTAGAATGAGGACAAATAAAAAATGTTGTTCTTATACTGCATGAAACCTCTAAAAGGCTTTAATTGATGATACACAAAATTGACGTCCGGTTTAATGTGTACACTGCAGTATATAAATAATGTATGAAACCTTTAGAAAAATGTATATGAAAAAGTGTTGTTTGCAAGTGAATTACAGTAAGCAAGCAGACCTACTTGTAATATTCCGCCCTCTCCAAGTAGTGTGGAGCTAGACCACCAAATAGGTCTGCAAGATACATACAGATTGCTCCAGACTCTAGTACAATGACATCGTTGTCAAGTTTCAATGCTGGGATAGTGCCATGTGGATGCACGCTCTTCTTGTAATTCTCCATGTCCGTCATGTTTTCCCCATGAAGAGTAACCTTCTCAACCTGAAATTTGTCTTCAATTCCCAACTCTGATGAGAAATTGAATTGTGATAACCCATTATCAACATTTTTAGACTGTTTTCAAGCCACGTAATTATTATATAAATACTAAAATTTTTAGTAAAATAAATTCTAACAAATCCAGCATCCTATTTTAACCATTATTTTAAGCAGTTACTTTATATCCTGGTAAATTAAAATAAAATTAGGTCAAAATGACCCCCACCCCGGGCTGAAAGGACTCGGGGGTATACGTGGCAGCAAAAGCCAAACGACCTGACACTACCACTATTAGCCTTCTGAAAATGAGATTACGTAAAATGGGGAATTCCCCTAGAATATATTTGAATATTGAAAAGCGTGGCCGAAAACCTGAGCATTGGAATACTGTAACCAGCTTACATTACACAGACAGATTCAAAGCAGTACTTAGTATTAATTGCATTGCAGTTGGGGTTTACCTGCAATAAGCCATGCACATCTTGATGAACGAAATGGGAAACTATGATAGAGAGTCATTCGCCGATGGCACTTGGCATTCTTTCGATATTTCCTATGAAGCGCTAGACCACCAAGTGCAAAGGCTGCCCCTCCTCCAAGTGCTACACACAGGCAGATAATTGCAGTATTCCTAAAAGGTGCATACCACCGCATGCCATTGTAAACCACCGAATACCACCGCATAATGATGACCGACAGTTATTGAAATAATAAGCGTATTTCATATATACGTCAAAGTGTGAAGAGCATAAGCCTATTTTACAAACTAGAGCCGCACCACTACCACACCAAACAAAAGAACACCACATGCCCACCAGTCAATCAATCACAAACTATCATCATAGAAGTATAGAGGGCAGCATTCTCAAAATTAAAATCTGGTCGCTTTCTAAAATTTGAGATCCCCACTCTTTGCAAACTACTAACAATTCTTTACACAAAGCTAACCCTGTAAATGGAGACCGAACCCAGAGACCGCACTTAATTATCAGGTCCCCAAAAAATAAATAGAAATGGAGGATTCGCTAGGCCTATCTAGCAATTGTCATCGTTGCACCCCAACTGCGCTCGATGCTGCTGAACTTTGACTATCCTACTACCTACCTGCAATAAACCAAGCACATCTTGAAGAGCGGAATGGGAAACTATGATAAAGAACCATATGCCGAGGCCGTTTGGCTTTTCTTCTATATCTCCTAGCAAGTGCTAGGCTACCAAGAGTGAGGACTGCCCCGCCCCCAATAGCCACACACAATCCGATAACTGTGGTGTTTACAACATCAGCAGTCACTCCCGCCATGTTTCGATAAGTTTAATTTCCCTAACGTTGAGGGCACCACATACAGTACATAGTACCAGAGCTTTTAAATTTAATTAAGAGAGCCATATAGAGAAATATAGTTGGTTGGATTTCCAACTTATATAGCTGAAGCTGTGGTTTGATATAGTCCATCAGCTCATGCATAGGTCCATTATATGGAGTAGGAAAGCAAAAAACCCAATCCTATGATCCCTAGTGGCTCGTAAAGGATTTAGTTAATTTACCGTTAGTAGACCTTAGTGTTATTCCGGTAATTGCTCTTACAAGGGGAAAACATATGTACCATAGGTAAGCGGGCGACTTTAATAGTTCCTCGCCAAAACAGAGGTCAGTGAGGTGCTCCTATCCATATATGTGGATACATTAAGGTTGTTAAGTGCATTGTCAGTTCTTATTTGAATTCCTGTTTACACCATTGTATCCCAATATTACTCTCGGAATGCTCGTTGCTGAACATTTTCTATGAGTGATATTGGGTGAGAGAGAAATGCCAACTGGGCAGGGATATTCAAAAACAATAGGCCTAAGTGTTTTATACTGCCAATAAATCAGATTAGGGCGCATATAGGGTTCATTTCAGGGCCTATTTGCTGATTATTAAAAATATAACGTCGATTTTACAGCGCCCCAAACAGGCTGCAAATTGTTTGCCTATGTGCTTTATTCTCTAAAGAGGGCTGGTATTGGGGTTTTAGTTGGCTACAATAATTTAGCAATTTTATAGGTCTATTGAGTATGATAAATACAGGAGTTACCTATTTATTGGGAGTAAAAGAAGCAGTGACCCAACGATGGGACTGGAGGCCCTGTGGATTTATGAGATTGGGCCCTTTTTGGGCAGTCACCAGTTCTGTGATAGGGTCGTTTTTAATGTCTGTCATCGTATTATAAATGCTTTTAACGGGCCCTTTTTGGACAGTCACTAATTCCGATTTTAGATGCGCTCGTATTTCATATCGGCGGTTGATCCAAGAATTTGAAGGGAAAGAAAAGAGCGAGGCGGGACTTTCACAAATGGAGGGTCTATAAAATATTAATGATCGTTAGATTGCTGGAAATGGCACTTAAAGATTTAAAATTTCTCCATTTTAAAAACAAATGTTGACAAATTTTGAGGGGCCTCGGGCCGACAGGGCCCCCTTTAATCCGGTACTGGATAAAGGCCTATGTCCCACAGTCGATATCAGATATATGTTATGTTGTTATGTATCGGAAAAGCCC